CTTTCTTTCTTTTTTAACTTTTTAAATAAATATGCTTCTCTCCCCCCTGATTGTAGGAGTAATATATGCTTGCAAATTAAGAAGTTGAAAAATACAAAAAATGTAGAAAAATAAAGAAAATCATTCATAATCCCACCTGGAATTAATAATCCCAGGGATATTTTGGTATATTTCTTCCAGACATTTTTCTACATGTAGCTTTTCTCCATAGCTGAAACCATATTGTATACATGGTTTTACATTCCGGTGGGTTTGGGTTTTTCCTGTATGATAACAGACATTTTCTGATGTCACTGAAATCTCACCCTGAATATCACATTTATTGGTGGATGCTTTCCCATTTCCCAGTGATTAGCCTTTGGGCTGTTTCTGCAGTTCGCTATTATATTAAGTAAAAGTGCAACCCACACCTTTGGACAGAACTTTCTTCTTCTAAATCTCAGCGCACGTCTTTAAGATCCATTGCCTTAGGTAGAACTAATCAGGCAGCAGATAGCTCTGCGAAAACTTCCTCTCACTTTTGGAAAAGTTCAACATAGAGGGCAGTTTTGGAATCCTTGAGAAGTTTAATTACTGAGCATTTAGAAAGACAACGGCTCTAATAACACACACTGGTATTTCAGGGCCAGGGCTCTCGCCCTGAAGCAATCTGAAACCGGGGCTGACGTCCAGAAAGATCCCGCCTCCAACTGCACGGACCAGGCGCGGGCGGCGGCGCCGGCTCCCCTTACCTGGGCAGCGCCAGGGCCTCCTCGGTGCTGCCGAGGGCGCCAGAGACCCCGGGCAGCGCCAGCACCCCGTCGAGGTCGAACACGGCCACACGCAGCGCCATGGCAGCCCGGGACGGCGCCTCCCGCCGAGGCAGCAAGTGTGCGGAGAGGCCAGTGATGGCGGGGGCCAGGCACTGCCGCCTCCCAGCTCCAGCCCGGCCACGCCCCGGCCACGCCCCCTGCTTCCGGCCCGCTCAGGCCCCGCCTCTGCTCCCTCCGCCCCCCCGCCCTGGTCTCAAACCGAAGTCCGGAGTCCCCTACCCCCACCTCCCCGCGCACGCTCTCATAGGACTCGCTTGAAGAGGTGGACCCTGGCCCGGGCCTCCTGGACAGGCTGACCACTGGAAGGGAATGTGTGTGTGTGTGTGTCTTTGTTGTGTGTTGTCAGACTCTTTTTCACCCAGTATTTACATCTTGTGTTCGCTTTGGTTGGCGTATCCAGTAAACTAATAGATTTGCTGCCCAACTTTTCTAGCCTCAGGACACCTGTTTGCAGATCCCTAACCATCCTGATGGCTCCTCTGGGCACGCCTTCTTTGCCAAGGCAAAATGTGTTTCGAAAATAAAATATATTGCCCCAGGTGTGATGCGCCAGCCCAGAATACTTCGATTCCAATCTCTTGTGGAATGAGTCTTAGAAGAGATACATTTGGGCTATCATTTTCCCTTTGTACATTCTACTTGTAATCACTGCTGCCTAAAAACGTTCGAGGTTTGTATTTCATAGCCGATTTCTGCACCATTGGCTCATTTATGTTCCTAGAAAAACTAAAACCTTGCTTGGGAGTCCTTGAGGTGTGCTTGTGTAGAGGATGTTGGAGCCCTCATGCCTTTGTAATGTAGCTCTAGGAGTTTAAAAAATGTGCTTTTACCTAGTGCTCCAACTTGCCAAAAGCACAGCTCTAGACCATGAAGGTGCTGTTCTTTTTTTGTTGTTGTTTGAGGCAGGGTCTAGCTGTGTTGCCCTGGCTAGAGTGCAGTGGCATCATCATAGCTCACTGCAGCCTCGAACTCCTGAGCTCAAGAGATCCTCCCGCCTTGGCCTCCCAAAGTGCTGGGACTTTGAGCCACCGTGCTCTGCCAAGACCTCACTCTTGAATGTGCTGTCTGTGAATTTATTCAAGATATTCTCTACCATTTAGCTTGGAGAATGTGAGAGGTTTCAGATAGCTTACTGAAATCCAGAGGTCTGGGACAGTCTTTGGATCTCGTGATCATCGATTGGATCCACAAGAGCGGTGAGTTCACTCTGGGCTGGTTTGTTCTAGGGAGGCAGGCTGACCCTTCTCTTGCTACATGGTATCCAGCTGCCTGGGGCAGAGGTAGCAGCTTTTAGTTCAGTGGTGGTGTTTTCTGGGAGTCCTTCCTAAACATGCAGCCTGGAGCTCACTCTTCCATTCCCTTCAAAGATTTTGTAGGCTCCTAATCTCCCAGCTTAAATTCCTTTCTTCTCTTTCTATATAAAATAGCTACAGTGATTTCTGTTGCCTGCATCTGAATTCTGCATCTGGTACGGTATTGTTTGTGAATACATAAATACTGTTTATAAAAGTAGCAAAGTGAAGAGGAAGGACACGCCTACAGAACTGGATTTTATAAATCCTTCTTTTGAGAAGAAAAATAAGAAACTTAGAAATATGAGACTCCACTTTCCTCTTTGGTTAAGCTATCACTTGGACCTTTCATATATTCAGGAGCAGTTAACTAGTAAATAGCTCTTGTCTGGAGTATTTTATTTTATTTTTATTTTTTGAGACAGAGTCTCA